CATCAAAACAGTTCTACCGGCAAGATCTAGTTGGTGTAATTCTACCAGTGTGCATTGCAAGAGCGTATCTCAGGATCGCAGGATAAAGAGGAATTCCTACCAACTGGTGTGACGAAAGAAAACAGAACTGTAGTTAGGACTTGAGTATCATAGATTAAACTGGGTTGGCCACCCAGTTTGAACTTTATGTATGCCGGATAAGTGTACTGTATTTCCTACTATTTATTTCCAGCAATGGAATAAGAATACTGTAATAGAGTATCAATGGATGTTTACTTGAAATGGTGTATCCTTTATCATATACTAGGTTTATGGTACTTTCAATAGTACAGTGTTAGCCGTTGTATAATAAACGTTGAGTTGATTGTATTACACTGCATCCGAGCAAATTCTTTGAAACTTAAGGATAAAACCTGGGACCCGGTATTAAGACCGGTTACACCTATAAGTTGCGCCCTCTGGTGTCAAGACACACTGTTGTGTAAAAATGACATGGGTGAAGGCAATTTCGTTCATATCGCCGACTGTTTTTGTTTAGTCGTTCCGCATCAAAAATCTCAAAAAACAGTATTCATTGATGGAGCTCTTAGTCACTAGAGGGCGCAATTCACGGGAATGACGTATCAGAAGATGTGAGTCCGAATAAAGCTGGAGGTGGCGTGGAACGACACCTACCTGGTCCTCTGAAATTTCGACAACCTCTTTGAAGACAGTCCATGTAACGTTTTCATAGCAAGGTGGTGTAGTGGTACTACCTTCGTAGCGGTAGAAACGAGTCAAGTCCGACGGGAACATCGGCAAGAGTTGGAATGGCTCTGTAAATGTGTACTCGTCATCTGCAAAAAAAGATAAATGAAAAAGTATAAGGTTTTAAATATCAATGGCACTGAATCGTTTACGTTATTTTATCCTGATCTACCAGCGCACAGTTATCTATTTTGGGGTGAGTCGTTGAATAATTCAAGTATCTATGCGGCTCACCTTTGTTGGCTACGTTGTAATGTTCGTTTAAAAGAGCGTCAAATGCCGAATTAGGCTCTCCAGCCTAGAAATAAAACAAAAAATACACTGATAATTTCTTAGAAGTTGAGCCACAGTGTCGTTCAATTACTGCAAGTCACATAATTACTGCAAGTCACATAATGCTGATCGAGTGAATCTATTCGACATTTGTTTTGCGTTTAGCTAAAAATTCGTCAGCACCCAAACTTCGGGCACTTTCCATGAGCGTGCTGAAAATCAATATTGCTGTGCTGTGACGTAAAAACAACATTGAAAAAATAAAATTGTTAGATTTTCACTATGATACGTTTTTTGATGAATGAAGGTGAGTTTTTTTTTTTGGAAGAATATGGAAGATGATGCAAGTAATACGATTGTGGGGTCTTATTAATCTTAATGAAGAATTGAGGGAGACACTTGGACACTGATCAGACACCCAGTTCGTATTTGTAACGATCAGGTGTAAATTGTGTGGAGACACACCATTCAAAGCCGGGATAATCTTTTTTCAATTGAGGGCGCCCGTTAACCCTATCATCTGCCGGCCAAAATGTTGGTACAACAATCTGCCTATTTTTTTTACGAATTTTTCTTCATTTGTTAAGTCATTTTGAACCAAATGTACACAATTCCCTATTGGATACAGGTCTTGATCAAATTTTTGAAAAAAAATCTAAAAAAAATGTGGCGATAATTTTTTTTGGCAATCAAAAGGTTAATACAAAAGATTTGCTACATTATAAATAACGAACAACCATACACCAAACCACAGTCGTATATATGGGCGACATCGCTTACAGTGCAGTAACCACCCACCTCAATGAGGAATCCCAGCACGGCAATACCACCTTTCTTACCCAGCGCGTTGGTGTAGCTACCGTACAAGTCTTCGTTATAACAAACCAGATGAAACTGAAACGGAATGAAGACAATTATTATAACCATTTTTTTCGTTTTACTGAGAGATCTCGTGTATTGGATTAAAGGCTCAGAGCGAGCGTTTGCCGCAAAAAATAAATCCATTTTACTTTGATTTTTTTTATAGCTACCCGTACCCCTATTTCTCAAAATGACCATCAAATATGTACAATAGCATATTATTAAGCATGGAAATTCTACAAAACTCCTCAAACGTTTTGACGCTACTTTTACGCTTGTTTGTCCCGTTCTTGCCGATAGAAGAAAATGGTCTCTTATTACAAATAGACACACTAATTGAATCACAATTACAAAATCATATTCAGGAACTTTCCCAGAACCAACCAGGGATGGAACTTGATTAACGAAAATATTCATATTGCATTTGTCAGCACTCGTATTACTTGTCTATCATTTAGTCGCCATTAAACGAAAACTCGTATTTGTAATTGGATTGTTCTATATAAATCATTAACATGTTACTTCAACAAAGTTTTATTAATGTCATTGTTTGGATACGAGACTAAAGTGGGAGGGTCGTCACCTGCGCATACGCAGGAATCAAGTCCCAAGCGACGATATCAACACACGCTAAAAACGCAAAGGCTTTTGGGTAGATGCTTGTTTGTAAACAATGACACGCTATGGCCACCTGACGCATGCGCAGGTGACCTCTCAAACGCTTTAAGTAATGGGGATAACCAGAACAAAAATCCCTGCGTGAGACGTTTCTGGTCGCCCATTCATTCGAAATAAGCGGCATTTTAGCTGTTCTGTGGCAATATGAGTCGGCTAAGGCTTCGTTACAAGTGAGGGCGCTAAACTATTCATTTCGCTAACTTTTCTTCACAGGGGAATCGTTGTAAACACCTGGCACGGTAATTCTTTAGATGCGACCTTTCTACATGAAATGCTAGATATGCCTGTGATAGAGTATTTGTGTTATAGTTTTCCTGGTTCTGAGCTTCCGATATTTGGGTTCAATTCGAATAGAAATGAGGACAATTAAAAACAACTCAGGAAGATGTGTTCACTATAAAGGAAAAAACACTGAAATTCATAACATTCACTGAATTTAGAGCAAACTAAATACCATTTCGATGTGTCATATTGCAATTACGTCACCCAAAACTTGGTCTTGTAGTGTTGGTTTTCACTTCTTTATCTCCGTATTACACATTTTGTTTTAATGATGTACAGTTTCATCAGTATCGCTACCATACCTCAGCCGCCTTTTTGTCTCCGTCAATTTCATGTTCGGATCCTTGCGAGTTGTCACTTCCCCAGTGAAAGTGGAAATAATGAGCCTTGTATTCGGACAAGCCAGCACCGGACACAAAATAATCTCCATCCAAATGAATCAAAACTAAAGAAAGCAAGAACAAAATATTGTAATCTAGACTAAATGCTTAAATTTACTTACTCGTACAAACTATAACAGTTTTTACTCCAATATTATCATTATGCTGTGTAGCATCAAAGTGAAAACGTTTGGGGCAGAAGTTATTTAAGCGTCAAGCGTTCACTCATTGGAAACGACAGTGTGGGCGAGAGTTTACCGCTAAGGCTGAGAAAAAAAAAATATCTCTGTTTCTCGTTTCCGCGCGCATCATTTTGAACTATGCGCCTCGAAGATTTTTTTCCTTCTAAAGCATTCCAAAATGCGCTTGTACTGGCACTTGTCTCAAATTTCCCCCATTTTAGCTCAGTATTAAAAAAAAAAAAATCTCATCGCCGCCTCATTTCAAAATTTCAATGAAACAAGAAACAGAGATGTTTTTTCTTGGCCTAGTACTCGCACGATGAACGGATTTTGTATTGATGCAAGTAGGAATCTATGTAAAAGCATTATTTCGTGAAATAATATTTTGTGAAAAACAGAGTTACCCATTTTAGAACAACATAGTATATTTTTACTATGTGAGTACAAGGGTGACGGGAGAGAATGCCATGCCTTTTTTAAAGGGCAAACAAGTCTCGTGACTCTCTCGCCCTAAACGAGATCTCAGCGGCCATTTTCGTACAAGGTATGTTGGTACATGAGCATGCGATGCATTGTATATAGCCATTGAGAACTAGTAGTTAATAAAATGTGAACATATATTTATAAAAAAATAAAATGGCGCAGCACTAGCTTCATGCGCTATAGATAACGGAGGTGAACACGCGATAGAGAAGAAAACCAATAAAAACACAATGTAAAGACAATGCTTATGACGACACAGGTCGCTTGCAATTGAATGAAGATAATTTCACAGCGACCTCACACGTCACTTCAACACGTACCTGTATGTCCATTGTTTTCCATCGATATCTCTTGGCCGTCGTATTCGTTTTCAAAACCGTCAAGGGTGAACGTTCCCAGGTCGTCATATTCGCAGTCGGCAATCACGATGTCCACGGGCGACTGAGACTCGGAACCACACGTGGTATAGTTCAATGTTGTCGCCCATACACTTGGACCTGAGAAATGATGGCGTAATATTCAACAGGGAGACTTCCAGAGTGCGAGCAAGACTTTTAAACAAATCTAGAAATCCCGAGTAATAATTGCTGCCCGAATAGCAAACGAAAGATTTAATAGTGAGCAATCTATAATTAAATAACTGATCAGTAAGCGAAAATTAGGTCGAAATCAATCAATATGAAATACTTCCTCGGCGACCATTGTATTCTTTAAAAACAAATACGATCACTCACCGTTATCGTCATCGTATCCCCAATCTGAAAAGTGGAATATTGAAACTTTTAAGACTTGTTGGACGACGATAACAACACACGCAAAAAACGCAAAGGCCCATGGGTAGACGCTTGTTTGTAAACAATGACACGCTATGGGAATCTGACGCATGTGCAGGTGACTCCTCAGCTTTAATGGAAATGGATTTCTGGGCACTCCTTTCAAGACACTAGAAATGTTATTAATCACCGTAACAAACCGTGTGAAACTGTAGATATTAGGACAACTTCCCCGTGAGAATGTTTGAACTATACAGTATAAGCAACACGTGTTCTATCTGAGGTGTTGACAAATGGCATTTACTTACATGATGAGGATAAACACTGCTTACAGACTACGTACAAAACTCAACAGAGATTATAATAGAAATGAAAAACTGACACCATTTTAGGCGATGAACCACTGTAACCATGGAAACTACGAGAAGCTTTTGCTGACCACAAACATATTCGGTGAAATGTAGCATATTCCAACTAACGATGGTAAAAAGCCAACAAGACTGGCATTGCCTTTTGATTACCCACAGTCCTGTGTGTTTTCTCTAACATATTGGTTGGTAAAATTACACCAAAACACAACCATCTGTGGATGTGCTTCATGCATTTTGAAAACGTGCATTTTTTATCTCGATAGTTTGATATTTTGCTAGAGTAGTAGTGTATTTTGTTTAAAATTATAATATATAATTTCCAGAAAATTAAAAGCTAAATCCCAAGCTCCTGACTGTCGTATATGAAGGAAGGAAACTTGCATATTAGCTGTCGGATGATGAGGGCGCGTACTTATGTTGGTACATGTACTTGTTTTTTCTCGAAGATTGACAGCATTGTTAGCACCGCGGTACATTTTATATTCACAAGTTGTAACTAAAAAAAACATGCTTTAAAAAAATAGCAAACCTAATAAGTTACAAAATACTGAGCCAAAATTCATCAATGTCCAATGCTGCAAACTATAGAGAATTCTGGGTAATTTATAGAACTGTTCGTCGTGTGTTGTATAAGTATCGTCCGTTACACGATCACAATCGAAGCACAAATAAACATTCTCGAGATAGTATTTCTATTTCAAGCTTTTCTCTGACATTATTTGCAAAACGAATAGGTTATCACAAATCGTCACGGTTCACTCTTTTGAGGCAGAGAATAATGTACGCAAACTGTACTCGTTGGAATGATATATAACCCCGTAAGTAGACATACTGTCCTGATGGCCCGCCCCTTTATTTGGCGGAACCGATTGTACCGATATAGCTGTTTAACTTTACAAAGGGACTTGAATAAATTAATTGCGCGACACGTCATCTTGATCGAGTGAGCAAATATTTGTTATGAAAATGTTTAAACTACTCCAGTCTCTGCATGCCTACCTATTTGGGTTTGGTGTTGCGAAGGGAGGAAAACAAAACACTCGCAGTGCTACATTGGAACAAATATACGGGCTACGAGTATTTTGTCAACACGCTTAATGTCCGTGGCGTGTCTGCTACATACTTGTGACCAAGAGTGTTGGACATTCTTTTCAAATGTTTTTTGCAACTTGTTTCAAACACGGTACATTTAACGGAGCTACTCTTTTTAGTCCCCCCAAAATGGCGGCAGTAACTAAGTGATGAAGTTTGACGATGTCAGTATAACTTAACTCCAAGAATCGCCAGATTCTCTATTAAAATTATTGTATAGTGTTTCGGCAAATTGTGACGCCTGGAAACGGGTCAGTCTTTGGCATATCATGTTTGAATACAATAGTGTAATATATACACAAACAAAAACGTGATTTTAACTACTAGATGTTTAGCCCCGTTTGCGAATAACGGTTTGAAGGTTCGGACTTACCTGTGGCGCACGACGCCGGAGTGAGTTCGCATAATACAGCCACTATGAACCAAGTTTTCATGGACACCATAGAACCCGGCACAACGCTACGGACAGACATCGTGGGTGACTTTGAATTCTGACGTTATGAGTACCACCCGACCCTTATATATCGTAAGTTGAGGGCACTTTTGTGCAATTCCAGCCTCGTTCAGGATTACGTCACGTTCACCGTGCATATTGCCCAATATGTCTTGGATGCAATTTCAATTTAATTTGCAAGTACATTATCTCTAAGCTCATGCGATATTATTGCTATCGTAACGACATTGTGTACACACATTTGGTTCACACGACGTTGAAGTATTGTTTAGAATCAACAACTTGCATGTTTAAAGTAGACATAATAAAACATATATTACATTTTTATAAATATATTGTTTACTAATTGTATATTGTATTCAGTAGTGGCAATTTTCAAGTTGCAATGCTTTAACTGTGATACACGTCGATGGTAAGCACGTGATCATGCCAACGGCTGCAATGATTCGCATGTTAACTCTTTCACGCCTCAGAATTTTATTGCAGAGTCTGTAAGAGTAGGAGAGAAGAAGAGAATGAGAGGAGACAGCGAGGGGTTACCTCAGCTTATGTTTGGATGAATGAAAGTGAACTATCTATAATGAACTAATGTGTATTTCTTTGGGTACAACACTGACATGGACTCGGAGAAGCCAAATTACTTCGAAGCAAATAACAATAATGAAAGAGGGGGACGCGTTTGGAGACTAACAGCTTTACCCAAATAACACCGATGACAAGACGTTGACAAGATGAAGAAGGAACCGAAGGATCAATATGAAGTGAGCGACATCAAGAAACTGAATGAAGTATATCCATGAGAAGCACAAGAATTACTGACGTTTTCGGAAGGACTATACAAAAGCGAATGAAAAAATCTACGTCAGGCATAACCAAGAGAAGAACAATAAACTATTAGCATATTATGTGGGGAAAAAACACCGTGTATCACAGAGGTAAAACAGTATTACGAATGAGCGTAATAATTATGAAAACTACATGCAAGAATGAACTACGATGAACATTTTCAAAATCTTAGGACTATTGTATAGTATGTGTAACATAATGCATACTTCTTATTGTCGAATTTGTGAGCGTTATTTTGTGATGTTGAATATTTTATGTGAACGCCCATGTTCTACGTTTTGAACTGATATTTAACAACTTTGTGAGGTACTCCGGGTTTCACGATGGTAACCATTTCTTAGTAGACGTAATATTTGCAAAACACAGTTTCTGAAGTATTTTATTTTGAAGGTTTAATCAAGTTTTTAAGAAGTTTATGAGCACGGTCTATGATGGGAAGGATATTGCCCCCCCCCCATAGCCGTCAATTAATGTGCTGCTTTTAGAATTATTATTATAGTAGGATTATGTAAGAGAAGAAGGAGAGAAGGCGGCAGCGAGGCGTTACCTTAGCTTACTGTTTGGCTGAATAAAGCTGTAATCCTGTAATGAAGCAATGTTTATTCTTTGGGGGAATACACTGGCACATACACGTGTAAGAGTCACCTCACCTCGACCTACATTTGGCAGCACAAAGTTGATTATATCAGAACACAGAGCTCTGTACGCATATATTATTTATATTAGCACACATGCATTTGTAATATGTTTTTTTATAGATGATATGAGAAACAAGAAAATGAACTGGAATGCAATCTCCATAAAGGAATTACATGTAAACCTAAGCCACTTACTGGTTGTGGCAACTATGTGATGCTTAAACGAGTGGCTGGTCCCGAGACCAATCATCAATCACATATCCTGGTACAAACTTCTTCTTTTCTATAAAATATCTTACCTAAATGTGACGTCATACCAGTTGGTATCAGTATTACCAACCTTTAAAATTGCGAGCAGAATTTTAGCGAAAACAATCCCTTTTTGAACGTTCACATCTGTTTGGTATTTTACATTATACACCCAAATAAATTCTTCATACATTTACAGTTTACATT